TTCTGAATGTTTTTGCTTGTAAGAAATAAAAAGGAGTGTCAGCTCCAACATGCTTGAGTTGTCATAACTTGGAAGAAATGGAACAGGTACACTTTAGCAAGATACAATAATAATAATAGATAGCATTTGTATAGCGCATATCCCCGCTCAACAGCAGGCTCTATGCGCTTTACACTATATTATTACCCCAGCAGACCATAGAACACTCCGAAACATTCTCAGCTTCCCGGGAAGCAATAACCCTTGTTCAAAAACAGGGCACAACTTAGTGGCAGCCAGCAATGGTGAGTTCAGAAGTTTATCTGTATTGGTGTGATATTGTGATGTATAAAAGCCATAACAGGCCAAATTTCCCCGCGGTCATCAATAAAAGTGAAATTTTTATTATTTTAATTTGTTAAATAATTTATTATCCAACATTACACTTCAGCTTTTGAAGTTTTAGTAACCTGAACAGCGATATCTCAACGCCTAAGGTCACATTTCTGTGGCACTGCAGGTCACGCGTACTCACCTTTTTATTGGCTTTGGCCGGCACCTCCTTCCTGGTGGGACTCTGTGTCCGGGAGGATGACGCAGAACGCGTCCGCAGACTGACCTTAGTGCTGCCCTTAGGAACTTCACCTTTAAGTAAAGCCTGCAGAGGGACAAACAGCTTGTTTTAGTTTTAGTAAGTGTTTTACGGCACTAGCAATACAATAAGGTCATATAAGTGTCGAAGATTCAAGGAGTTACAAGAAAGTAACGAACACAAAAAAGGAGGAGAGATAAGTACGAAAGATGTTTAACAGGAAAGAAAAAGCAAACCACACCAGAGCACCCGCCAACCACCCACACATACAGCTTAGAGCAAACAGAAGTAACCCAAAAATGAATAAAGAGTAAACCAGCTTTTCCCTAATTTTATCCTCCAGAAACCCTCTACGGAAGTCAGCAGTCTCCACGAACTCCCAACTTTTAGAAACATGACAATATGTATTCATTTCAGATGAAAAAATATTATCACATACCATTACCCATTATACACAGTAGAACCAGGGCTTTCTGAATTAAGAACAGATTTCATTTCAATTAAAAAAAGTATGTTGTAATGACAATGAGACACAGAACATCATTTGCTTGTTTTGTTTGAGTAAAGATAAGCACATCGACATAAAGACAAGTCAGTTAGAACTGGGAAAAGGTTAGACAAACAGTAACGATAGAAGAAAAGAAAAGAAGCAGGACCTGCCTACGAGTGGCCCCCTCCAAACACTCGCTGACACACAGAGCAACAACAGCAATTTGTATCATTCCCGATCTTTGATAAAACAAAAGCACATTGATACAACTACGGTTCATTAGTGCCAGGAAAAAGTTAGACAGACACACAGACAGAAACTGCATAAGAAAAGAATATAACCATCTCACCACAAAGGCTGTTAGCTCAAAGATAAAACAACAATAAAAACGGCGCAGTACCTCTCTCCCTCGTTTATGAAAGTGAGAATAGGGGTCAGCCTCTCCCCC